GAGCACAGCAGCTACACTATATTTTACATCCAGTTTCTTACAGCACTGATATACAGTCATATACAAAAGTTTTATCACCCACACTCAAATGACATGTTTTGTTGATTTTCTAAGCGAAAATAAAAACACATTTTCTCCAGGGAACATGTTTAAAATGTCCTGGAAATCATATCCAAGACAAAATTCTTGTTTTTCTGTAATCTTTCAACAAAATGTAGTGACTTTTGCCCACCTTGTTTCCATCACTGTGCACCAGCAAAAAATCACACTAACCAATAGGGATAGAATCGGAATCAGCCAAAATATTTTTGCCCCAATCATGCCTTCAGCAATCAGCCATTTTATTATTTTATTGGCTGATCTGTTTTGCAGTTTTGAATTCAACACAATAAATGATATAATGTTATTGCACTCATGTTGTATTTGAATATTGTTTGTCAGATATTTTCCAGTGGATGTCACAAAATTTTCTACAACTAAATCCTGAAAAACTGATTCTGATTGTTGGTACTGCTTTATGAGAAGCTGGTAGTAATCTTTTGAGCTTTAGTTTATCCTGCTTATAGACGCATAACTCATTGTGCTAATGAGCCAGTTGCCTCTTACATTTGATGTAGCGCTTAATTTGATTCATGTTATTAATATAAACAACTGATTTTTTGCTTAAGAAGTGAAAATGCCATTTCAGCCCATTAATTATCGAATAATGTTATTTTTATTATGACTTTGGCAGATAAAAAGTTCTGGGCATGTGTTGTATGTTTTATGTGTTCATCTACCCCACACAGTGTGAGCTTCATTTTTTAAAAAAAGTGAAAGTGAAATGCTCAACTAGCCCTGAAATCCTCTCTGATGCCATGTTTTATTTAGAAATATGCCACAGTTGTAACGTGACAGACCAAAATCTACGAGATAAGGCTTAAATAAAAAAGGTATTGGCAAACATCATAGTCGAGGTACAGGCGTAGGTCAAATTCAAAATAGCAAAAAGGCAAAACAGAGACAAAAATGAGAAATCCAGAAAAGAGTCTAATATACCAAAAGGGCAACCGAAAGCATAATGGAAACACTCCGTAGTTCTGCAGGAGAAACAATACCTCGCAATTTGGCTAAGATAGAGCTCAGGCTTATAAACTAAACTAAACAGGTCATATGACATAGAAAACAGGTGAAGGTAATCAGGGGACTTAGAGCAATGATTGGTTGAACAAGGAAGTTCATCTGTCACATGCTCTCCCAAGGAGTTCTGGGAAATGGTCCTTTAGTGAATCGAGGCCAAAGGGATGCATAACAGTACAAACAGAAAACGGATTTCACGTTGACTTTAAAGGAATAGCTCCGGTGTTTGTTTAGTTTTGCACTAAAGCCATTTTGGGTGATGTACACTTATATTACTTAGCTCACATACGAAACTAAAGAAACAAACTTTAGACACAAAACATGTCTTAGCAGAAGTAATATTTTTGTGGTAAGGGCTAAAATGGACATTTTTTCAGTGATCAGATTTGTAGTGTAATAGCTCAGAAAAATTTAATTTGGGTCAAAATTGGACAAATTTTGCATACCTAACAACAGTAGCCACAGCACACCCTATCTTTGGTTATGGATAACAGTATGTCATACAGTGTCAGAAACCACATAAACAAGACTATTTGACATAACAACTCGACATGGTTTGTGGCAAGTTTGTGATGATTTAGGCATGAAGTTTAATGCTAATTGGTGAGGTAAAATTTCGTAAATAGCTACGTTAGCTTTAGAGACTGCTTGGCTGTTTGGCTATGTCTGCAGTACGGACATAAATTGTGTGCATGTGATTGTTCAGTTAACCGTTCCTAAAAGAATATTCTAACTCAGAAAAATCTAACTTGGACAAAAAATGGACAAAAATATGTTTCATAGCTAAAAGCTGTAGTAGCAGCAAGCAGCATCCTGTTGTTCATATTTATGAGTAACAGTCAACAGTTGGTTATGCATTTGGGCTCGGTGAAAACCACATAAATCAGATTTTTCACTGAACTGTTCCATTAAGTCTCGTTGTGGAGGCTTGTTTTTCAGCGCTCGTGCCTCTACGGAAGTGTTTGACCCGTATCCTGCTCTCTGAAATTCAAACTGACCTACTGACGTTGGTGAGCAAGAGAGAGAGGGCAGTGTTAAAACGGTTCAGTTCGGAAGTGAGTGTGCAGGCTCTAAAATAAACTTCGTCTTCCTCCGCTGCTTCTGTCGTTACCTTTCTGACATCACTGCCCCCCTCCCCTCCTTCATTGTTGTGCCTGCTGTTGTCTTATGTAAGCCGGGCAGAGGAAGTGACAGCGGAGTGGGCTTCAAAAACACGATCTATAAAAATAACCTGAAGTGCATAGGGATGAGCAGGAGTTATGATGAGAAGAACTCTCCTGAAACTAACCAGACACAGAGAGAGATAGAGAGAGAGATGTAGAGAGAGAAAACCACCCTCTCTACTTTGCCAAGTTTTTACAGCCTTTTTGATGAGGGGTGTGTGTATATGTGTGTGTGTGTGTGTGTGTGTATGTGTGTGTGTGTGGCGGTAGAGTAGGTGTCTGGGACTGAGTGGGAATGCCTGTTAGCATGTGTAGGCATCTGTTGCTATGGCAACCATCTGCCGCTACACTCAAGCCCTCTCTAGGCTGCCCACACAGTGTCACACTGCCGATACTCAGACGGAAAAGAGAGAGAGGGATAGAGAGAGAAAAGACAAAGTGTTGGAGATTGTTTGGTAATCATCAATTTAATGTGATTTTTGGTGGTGTTAATGGTTGTGCATGTGTATGTTTGTGTGAGTAGGCCTAAGTGATAGAAAGCGGCCAATTCTTTGTCACTATGACACTGGAATCACTGGTATCTCTGTATGACATCATGACCGAAGGTGAAAATTTCCGACCATGTGCTTGTTTTTCCTTAAAGTCCCAGACAACCAAGTATGTACACTGATCAGGCATAACATTATGACCTCCTCCTTGTTTCTACACTAATTGTCCATTTTATCAGCTCCACTTACTCATACTCCACTTTGTAGTTCTACAGTTACAGACTGTAGTCCATCTGTTTCTCTGTATACTTTGTTAGCCCCCCTGTTCTTCAGTGGTCAGGACCCCCATGAGCCCTCACAGAGCAGGTACTGTTTGGGTGGTGGATCATTCTCAGCACCACAGTAACACTGACGTGGTGGTGGTGTGTTAGTGTAGTGTTTTTAAACACTATGTCCACTCACTGTCCACTCTATTAGACACTTTTACCTTGTCAATCCACCTTGTAGATGTGAAGTCAGAGATGAGGTGTTTAAAAACTCCATCACTAATAAAGTATGCAGAGAAACAGATGGACTACAGTCTGTAATTGTAGAACTACAAAGTGCACCTATACAGTAAGTGGAGCTGATAAAATGGACAATGAGCATAGAAACAAGGTGGTGGTCATAATGTTATGGCTAATCGGCGTAAGTCTTGGTCTTGTGGGCACACAATATACAAAGTAAGTCCTGTGAATAATTTTCCCACTAAATAGCAGATGTACTTAGTAAAAATTCTTTCTGGCTCCCGAGCGGCGCAACCGTTTAAGCGTTGGCCCTATCATCAGGAGATCGCGAGTTCGATCCCTGGTGATGCTACAGCCATCCGTAGCCGGGAGTCCAAGAGAGCACAATTGGCCTCGCTCTCTCTGGGTGGGTAGGATGGCCCCTCCTTCTCCCCCCATCACTCAGCGCGATGCTAGTCGGCGCAGGCGTCTGTTAGCTGACGTAACAGATCTGGCGGTTGGCGCTTTCCTCCGAGCGCGTTCGGCTGTCCAGTGACGTTGCGTGAGCGGCAGTTCGAAAAGAAGCGGTGGTTGGCTTCACAGGTCTCGGAGGAAGCCTGTGTTAGCCTTCGCCCTCCTAGCGTTGATAGCATCGTGTGATTGGGGGAGTCCAAACTAGCGGGTGGAATTGGAGACGACTAAATTTGGGGAGAAAAATCGGGTAAAAATTAAAAAAAAAAATCTTTTTTTTTGTAAACTGGGCGGTCCTATTCTTGTATAAGTCCCTCACTAATTACAAGGATGATGTGGCTTGTCCTGTCCACACAGCTTTAACAAAACTGTGTATTTCCCATGATCTCTCTCTGTTTGAGTGAGAGAAACTTACCAAGCGAAAGCTAACAACCAAGCAAAAGCTAACCTAGCACAAATGATTGACCTATCAAGCTAGCTTAGTGGTGGAGCGGGTTGAGAGTGTTGGACAGAGGGTTGTGAATCACGTGCGCTCTTTAGAATATTAGGACCACACCCAGACAGTTCTCAGGTCTGTTCAGTCATGTGTTTAAGTCATGTTGTATTGTAAATATCTTGTTTTTTTCTTTCAAGCATTCCTGAATGTTTAATATAACACTCAATTTTTGTATTTTGTATTGTTTACATTGTGTTCTGTAGGACTTTAAAGGTTCAATGTGTTAGATATATGGGAATCTGTTAGCAGAAATGTAGTACACAAAACCATGTTTCATTAGTGTGTAGAATCACCTCTTACTACAAATCATTGTGTTTTTGTTTAGAGCTTAGAATGAGCCCTTCATATCAACAGTCCTTCATATCTACAGCAGGTCCTCTTGCAACAGAGGCTGCCTTGTTGCATTTCTGTGTTTCTCATAATGGTCAAACCAAACACTGGCTCTAGAGAGTGGCTTTCGCATTTTTACACTCAAAAAGCAACTTGAATTTGGTGGCTTTAATCAGTGGCTGCTGCCGGTGCTGAGTAACCATTTTGTGTTGTGAGAAGTTTGAGAACCCAAATTTTGCCAAATGTTGGGTTATGCTTATTATTTAGCACAAGAAAAAGCAAGGGAGGGTGAATTCTTGCCATCAAATAAGCAAAAAATGATGACCACCATTGACACCCACCACATTGTGGATCAAGAATGTGTGTTCTCTCTGTGGGCACTGAACACTGTGCCTGGATGGTGTGTATGTGTGTGCTTGTGCTTTAACCCCTCTGCTCTGTATTACAGATGGATGACTCTCTTCAGAAGAGTCTGAGTGTTCTGGACCGCCTCCTCCTCACACACTCCATCTGGCTTCAGCTATCAATCAATCCTGACTCCGCCCTCTGCATTCTGCAGAGAGAAATAGTTGGGGTGAGGTAGCCACTGAATCACTAAAATGTATCAGTTTGTAATCAGTTCATGCTAAATAGCCAGTAATCATCCCCTCATATTTCTGTCATCAGTTTGGCTGCACCAGTGATCCTATAAGATTATCTCATTGGGAAGACACATCATATTTGTGAGCATAAAAAAGTTACGGCTGTGTGCCATACTCTTTAAAACAGCAGCATTTTCAACATTTTCTGCGTACACAGGGTCAACAGCAATTCCAGCATTAGTCCATTTACACATTTTTCCTAATTAAATCATATCCAATTGCTAGTTAGGTCTCCTCTTCACCTGATGCTACCACTTTGCACCACCACATCTTTTCAGACTGCCACTAATGCAACGTAACAGCTCAGTGCACTTAGAGGGGTACACCAACTGCCAAATGTGTTACAACATCGAATGGCCTCCCTTGCTGGCTAACACTGCACTAAGAAGGGAAAAGGGTGGGGGGGTATCTGTGGCCAAGAGTCCAAGAGAGTGAAGCAGTTATGCTTGCTTGGACTCCTGGCCTCAGATCAGATGGCTGTGGCATCGAACTCTGTTTTAATGAACATGAAATTCATTTGTCAGTTTGTTCATTTCAAATCCTTAATAATTAAAATTATACAATTTAAATTTAATTATAAAAATATTTTTAAATATTTTAAAATATTCTTTTTTTATATTGATTGTTTTTGTTTTGATTGTTTATGCATGTCTCTTCACAGACTTTTTTGGTATGTAAGTGTGCATCTACTCAAAGAAAGGTGTTGTGTGTGAGAGTCCAGGAGAGCAGCGTGAGTGTCACACAGTACCCCATCCGTGAGGAGGACTCCAGTGAGTGTAACACACACAGATATCTTCACAGGCACTGACATGAAGGTGACACTAAAACACTATAGTGCATACACATCAGATCCTAATATATGTTCACATAATGCATTTATTATGTAACAATTGCAGTATTTGAAGCTGTGTTGACGTCTTGGAAATATATCTGTAATGTAACCAGTAGGTCTGTCCAAGACTATCCACACACCCCTTCAAATTAGTGAATTCAGCTACTTTAAGGTGCATGTATTGCTGATACAGTTCAGTACAAAGAATAGTATTCAGTCATGCACACAGAGCTTCTACAATCTCCATAGAGAGCATTGCCAATAGAATAGGATACTCCGGAACAGCCATACATGATAAAAGTCACAAAGCCCAATGAGTATGAAAGCCCCCAGCATTGGGCTGTGGAGCAGTGGAAACGCATTCTCTGGCGTGATGGAGCACTATCCAGTCCTTTTGGGATGAGCTGGAGTGGCATTTCCCATCCACAATTAATCGTACACCAGTGCCTGACCTCACATCCTCACAGCAGTTTTCCAACATCTAGTCTAAAGCTTTTCCAGAAGACCAGAGGCTGTTATGGCAGCAAATAGGGACAAACTCCCTATTAATACCTTTGAATTCAGAAGAAACATTGGATGAGCAGGTGTCTGCAAACTTTTGGACATCAAGGGCTGGTTTCCCAGACATGGATTAAGTCTAGTTTTTGCTAATGGTAAATCTCCATCTGAAATTCTTTTTAGTATAGGATTAGGATTAATCTGGTTCTGGGAAACTGGCCTGTAGTGTATCAAACCCTTATGCCTACTGGCCAACTGTGACTCACCATATGTTGAGCTGAAATATATATGTTTTTTTCATTATTTATATTTCTTTGTTAATTTGATCAGTTAGGAAATATGTTAATATAGTCTAGAGTTTATATAGACTACATATAGTATAGTCTACAGTTGTTCGAACCTCTCAGGAAGTGCATGGCTGTGTTACGACTCACTAACACTAACAATGTTAACAGATTTGCATTTCAGTGACAGCATGGTCAATACAAACAAAAAAAAAAAAACTGTACTCCTAGATTGTGTTGCTGTTGGTGGAAATGGGTCCTCAGACAGCTACAGTACTAAGTACATTAGACTTGCTTTGCACCAATTATATACCATTTTGAACATTTATACACATACATATTGCAGATACTCATAATACTGTGATTCATACAACTTCTCTTTTGTCCGCTTTAAGCATTGACACCAAATTTGTTAGTCACTCAGAACCTATCATGCCCACAGCTCTGAGGAGAAAATGATGAGTAATGTGTGTCCGTCAGTGATGGTCACAGCACAGTCTAATCTTCATCATGTGTTTGGCAGGTGCAGAGCAGAATATCAGCAGTCTGTCAAAAGTAAAAGAGTTTAACAGTTACTAAACAGTGATTCACAGATTTCATTTAATTAATCTGTTTTATAGCAGCCCCAGTGCCAGAACTCAGTTATGAGTGGAGCATCTGAAAACCACAGAGGGTCCTGAGGAGGGGGCTGTGTATTCACACACACACACACACACACACACACACACACACATACACACACACACACACACACACACATACAATAAAACTAGTTATATGAAGTATAAAATGTAAAGCTGATCTGTCCAGAGCCACACATTCTGGATAGAATTAACAGGAAAACCACATTTACAGCAACTTAGCAGCATGCACTTATAGTTTAGTTTCACTTTGACTGTTTTTTTGCCTTTTCCCACTATAGAAGTAAGTATAAATGGTCATGGGTTTAGTGGGGCATGATGATTGAATGAATGATTGATGAATGACCCTCTAATGCCAGGCCTGTTTCTTAGTGACCAGGCAGTGAGCTTGGTATCTTGACCTTGAGTTTCCTTTAATTTAAATAAATGAAACATACACCATATTACTGACTATTTTATTGATTATTTTTATTTCTTTGATTAATTTTACAGTGAGAAGTCAGTGTATGCAATGTGTACATGATCTGTTTTATGTGTGTCTCTGCAGCATTCTCTTTAGAGAGTTCAGCCTTGAGCTTTCCTGACCTGTGCAGATTAGTGGCCTTTTACTGCATTAGCAGGTACAACATACACATCCAGGCACACACACACACACGCACACACAAACATACAAACATACACACAGACACACCCACAAATACAATCTATCATGTCCTGGGAAAACACTGTCTTATCTCTTTAACAGATGAGAAGAAAAAAACTTTGGAGTTTTACACTATTTTGACTCAATACACCCAAACCATGTACTTCTTAAAGTTTGTGTTTCTCCTAGCATTTTTAATGTAAAATAACAGTCAGAAGCGGAGTTTCTGAGGAATTCTGAAGAACGCAATACTGCAGTGCAGTAGAAAATAAGTGTGGGTGTGTGAATGTGTTCATGTGTGTGTTTTTGTGTGTGTTTGTGTGATCCATAGGGATGTGTTGCCCTTCCCACTGGAGCTTCCTGAAGCTATCGCTCAAGCCACCAACCACACACAGCTAGAGACCATCTCACACCTCGGGTTGGGTAAGATGATGATTAAACACGTGCAAATGTGTACACACACAGAATGCTAGAGAGAAAGAGGAATAGAATAGAATAGAATAGAATAGAATAGAATAGAAACGAATAGAAACGAATAGAACAGGAAAGAATAGAAAAGAACAGAACAGAGGAGAAAAGGAATGAATAGAAACGAATAGAATAAAAATAAACAGAATAAAATAAAACAGGAGAATAGATTAGAACTGAATAAAACTACAAACAATACAATACAATAGAACATAGGCAAATAGAATAGAATAGAAAAAAGAAACAAATAATGAGAAATGGAATAAATAGAACATAACAGAGCAGAACAGAAACAATAGAAAAGAACAGAACAGAGGAGAATAAAATAGAATAGAAACAGAATAAAATAAAACAGGAGAATAGAATAGAATTGAATTGAATAAAACTGAAATAGAATAGAAGTGGTACCAGAACTGTTGTTTTGGATGGGCACTGCCTTTTCGCGAGTGGGCTGAACCATGAATTCACTCCCGCGGGCGGGGAGTTATAGGCCACAATACAAAAAGTATAAACCATAACTGAGGCGTTTGATAAGTGTTCAAACACTGCAGTAGAAAAACCGCAGTAGGAGAAACTGACAATCTAGCTGACTAGAACGCTTAAAACTTTGAGCTTGTGATAAAAAAAAAAAAAAAATCTAAACTTGCATCTCTTGCTTTGCACACAGGAGCAATAATGTCCAACACAACTTTAAAATGCTGCCAGTTTCTAACATTTAACATTCATGTCTTTGGTGGTCATGGTCTTTGGACATGATTGACGATTATTCCACATTCAGAGTTGGATAACTGTAGGTAGTGTATTTAGCTGATGCTGTATGCTCTACTTGGCTCCTTTGTGCTTAAAACAGTCTGTGTTCCAGTCCTTAAATGTTGACCATATTCACTGATAACACAGGAATCAAACTTCTCATACCAGCATGATGAGAACTAATCCCTAGATTTAGTGCTGCGAATGGTAGATGAGTGTTTGAGAGTGTGTTGGTGGCTCAAGAGGGAGCAACACTTAGCAAACCCACAGTTATTGTTGAAGTTGGAATATTGATTGGTCATAGCAAAAAAAATATTATTGAATATATCATATTTACTGTGAGTGCATATTCATTTGTATTTTTGGTTTAGTTATTCATAAGATTTTAATATTGAAAGAAAATTCGGTAACACTTTCTATGAATGTCACGTTTGTAAGCATCTATAAACACATTTATAACATGTTATAATGCATTCATACGGCATTATGAACATGATTATAAACAATTATAAAAATGAATTACACTTTATAGCCATGTTTATTATACATTATGAATTGTTAATATAATGCATTATAAGTAGTGTTGATAACATGTTATACTGTCAGTGCCAAAGAAGTCAGTCCCAGCTTGGAGAGCGTTAAAGACAAATACCAAGCTAACGGTGGTGTACATTGACTTCCCCATGTTGGGTAAAACACTGATGGCAGCACTAAAAAAATCAGTTTAAAATCTGACTTTTGAAGCCTGTAATGTGCTGTTCTTTGTACGTTGAAGTATTTCAGTAAATACTTCAACTTGTAGCCTCACCCTTAACACTGGAGGAGGCTTTAGTACAGTATGCTTCACTTTACTTAGAGCGGACAAATACGACTTATGAGCCCTTATAATTTGTTATGATCAGTACTTATGATGTATTATGTTAACAGTTCATAATGCATAATAAGCATGGCTATAACGTGTAATGCATTTTTATAAATATTTATAGCCATGTTTATAATGCCTTATGAATGCATTATAACATGTTATGAATGTGTTTATAGATGCTTACAAAGGTGACATTCATAGAAAGTGTTACTGAAAATTCTAGCAGTCATTTTGGGTGGGCCAGTAACAAAAGTGGGTGGGTCTAGACCCCCTGGGCCCAGTAATACTGAATGCTGCCACTGAAACAGAAAAGAACAGAATCAACAGAACAGAATGGAAAAGAATAGATCAATACACAAGAAAATAATATAAGAGACATAATCTGAATAACAGATAGAATAACATAATCTGTTATTCTAACTCCCTCTCAGACTTTTGGAGTTCTCAGACCTCCCCTGGTCCTCCTAATGGCCCCCCTGCAGTGTCCGTGCGTCGGACATCCAGAGCAGGATCTCCATGCTTCATCAACCCCCTCTTCCTGCAGCCCCCCCAACCCAGCCGAGGGGCCTCACACAAGCGGCACAGGTTCAAACGCAGCCTGCGAGTGCGCGTCTCTACTGAGTCCTCATTCTGTCTGTCTTCTGCGGAACCGGAGTGGAGTGACTCGGACAGACTGAGGGCCAATCAGGGGGGCTCGCGGAGGGCAGGGGGACTGAGTGTGCTCAGACGAACCCCTGCTCTGGTTCCCACCTCCGAGGAAGAGGATGAGCACATGCTGGGAGAAATGCCTCCAGTAAGTGTGTGTGTGTGTATGCTTGCAGTTGCATGCAGAGGGGGTGGATATAGGTCTCTAAACATAACCTTTGCTAGATTCACCTCCTCCTACAGAAAAGCAGTGATGTTTTTAAACATTATAAAACAGGGTGAAGTGCTCAGCACATGTATGTTTAACTCCAACTCGAGCAACATCACATTTTAAAGCACTCGTTTGAGGTAGTCCATTGTTTCCAATCATAATTTCCACTGTTGCCCCTAATGTTGAGTTATTGGTGACTGGTGACAGCAAATCTGGAGCCACATAGGGCATCCTCTTTTTTAGATCCTTTGCTGTCTGTTGGCTGTTTTGTCATCCTCTAGCTTGCATATCCCACCTAGAGAACAGTGCTTCCAGGTGACATCAGCATCAGCATCTTCCAAGTGATTATCAGCAGGGCGACCAATCAGTAACACATTACAGTAATCTAATGTAGCAGTTATGAAAGAATAATTGAGAGAGCTAATTTCTCAGCATCTTGTAGGGTTTGCATGTGATGTATTTCTGTTATGTTTCTCAAGTGATAAAATGCAATCTCATAATGGTGGAGAGATGGTGGTAAAATGGATATGTGATGTTTTTGAGATACAGAAACTTCTGACACCGACAACAGCAACAACAGCGTACTGCAACAGTCAGCAGAACACTGCGTCAGGAGTTAAATTTTCACTCATCTGTCAAGTTTTGCCTTCAGAAAAACAGGATAAACAGGATGTTGATGTTTTCAGAAACCTGGGTGCTGAATGCTCGTCATTGAAGTCCAGGAATACCTGTTCGTGGACAGCAAAACAAAATGTCAAAAAGTCAATATGTGTAACCATGCCACTGACTCGCTGACCTTGCGTGAGTAAAAGTAAAAATGAAACATAATGTTCAAAAATTATGTGTCCTAGGAGCTGTAAATAAAGAGGGAACAGAAAGGGCCCTAAAGCAGAGCTTTGTGGGATGCCACATTGCACTCTCCTCTTCAAATCTCCTTTTTGTTAAGCATTGGCTATGATATAACACTCTATGGGGCACACAAAATACCTTTTGATAGGCCAGGTGCCAGATCTCCAGATCAGAGGCGGATCATGCTAGCTGAACTTCAAGATCAGTGCTGCTATCCTCAGGACCACAGGACTCAGCCGAGATACTGGAATTATGGAACATTTGTGAGCCCATCGTACCCTTATACATACACAGGCATACAATGGGCATATCTTTCTTGGTCACATGAGCCATCCACCCATCAGCCTTTCTTGGTCACGTGAGGACATCAACAAGTTTGGCTAGGCAGGCAAACTTGAAGAGCACACCCCATAGAAGCTCTCTGTCTAAGCAGTCAAAGGCCTTGGAGATTGTATTATTTTGTATCATTTGTTGTATCGTTTTGGCTAGGACTTTACCATGAACAGCAAGGAAAGAAATTCTTCTACTGTCATCATAGATGGGTTTGACCCTCCTTGCTTCAGTGGTTCTACAGGGGGCTGTCAGTGCCAGGCAGCTGCTAGAACTTCCATAAATGTTGGGGGCTTGGTGAGGTTGTGAATAATTGGGGTTTCTTCTAGAATGGTGTGGTCTACAGGTGCATGCTAATGCTGCTGCTCTCAGGGATAATGGAAAGGTTTTCCATTACCTGTTTTATTGGTGTCATATTCATTGTGCAGGTCCTTCCTCTCAGGATAGCTTTGGATCTCTCACACCTTGTCTAGCCACTGCTCATTCTGCAACTGCCACATGGTCTTTAGCACTTTTCTGTGAGCTACGTTCCATTGCTGCCTATCAGTTCTGCATGAGGAGCTGTTCAAGGTTGTCCTGTTTGCTTGGTTCAGGGTTGCTGAAGGTGCTTAGTAGGTTATTGATGGTCAACCAGAGAGTGGCATAACTTTTGCTTCAGCATTCCATGAACAATTGCAGTTCAGCACTCCATTGACTGAACTTCACTCAGCTTTTGGAGGTGTAGTTGGGGGCGCAATGGAATATAAAGTTTGGTTGCGATCATACAGTGAACAGTCCAGCATTCTGCTCTTCTTATTGCTTGGCCCTGCAAGAATCCTTAGCTGTAGGGAAAGGTCCCTCTCAGGCCAGGAGGTCTCGTAGCTCTTTTTGGTATTCTTGTGCTCAGTTACATAGGGGTCTGTCAAGACCAGCCGCCACTCAGTTCCATGTGTAAGCAGCTGCTTACCATGTGTTGCTGGTGTGTAGAGGCCTGACTAGGAGGTTCATACCTGCTAATGTTCAAAAACACAAATGCATATCGTCACTGTCGAAATAAAAACCTGTATCTCTGAAACAGAAGCTTTCCAGCAGAACAAAACAATGTGCTTAACTTAACATCTGTTAATGAAACTTAATAACATGAAAGGTTTGTTTTTTTAGAATTTCTGTTCACGTAAAAAAGGAGCAGATGACGTTTACAAACATTGTAAAAATACCTGGGTTTTCACACATCCTGGACAACTGGAACTTCATACACTATTTTTTTCATTTTTTTCATGGAAAACACATTTAGTTGCTAAAATATTAGATTAACACTGCTTCTTGTTGAGTTACAATGCAAGTAGTTTTCCCAACCCAACTGCCTTTCTGTCATTTCAGGACACATCGACACCGCAACAAGAAGAGATGCAAGAGATGGTCCAGGAAGAGGGTGTCTGCTTAGCATTGGAGCGGCGTCGTGCTCCTTCCTTGGCTGAGCTGGACAGCAGCAGCTCCTTCAGCAGCTTGGAGGAGGAGGACTCTCAGCTGGATGCCAGCATCCAGTGGCCTCCTGCAGCACGGGGCTCACGTTTCCCCGTGGCTAACCCAGCCTCCACCCTGCGCCGCATGAGCGCTGCCTTTGTGTGTGTTTTCGCCCCAGAGCGGCGAGTGGCCCGGCTGGTGGATGAGCTGTCCCGGGACAGGAGATCTGTCTTCGGCTCCTTGGTCCAGGAGTTCCTTGAGAAGCAGAAGGAGGAGATGAAAGCCCCAGGCTGGAGCTCCGCCATGCAGCTACTGCAAGGAATCAGGAGGTTCCTCTCACAGGCCAAGAGCCTTCTGCTGGAGGCTGGAGAACTGGAACCCCCTATTGAAACACTTGTACCTGAGAATGAGAAAGGTATGGGGCTGTTGATCAGTGTAATGTCCTTTTTTTCCCTTTAAAAGTCCTGAGTTATTACTGTTGTGTTACTCTGCTATTTGAATATAATAACATAATTAATTACATAACTAGATAGTGAATTAGATTTGTACTTGGTTCACTTTAAATGTAATTACAACATTTAAAATGTAGTTATATAATCATTTACAATTACATAAATTTTACATTTACATATTGACAGCTTTGTGTTTGCACCTCCAGGGTAGTTTCTGAACATTTGTTGGTCCCCTATCCCAATCTTCTTCTTTCATATGCAAGAATAGAAAAATAAATAGTAGTTAATTTATTTTTGTATGGAAAAAATAGGAAAATCTGTAGATCTACTGATATGTTTTCCACAACCGATTTTTAAAAAGTACTTACTTGGGGGGGCCCCCTGCTGGCTTGGGGGCCCTAATCGGCTGCCTAGCAGGAAATGGCTCTGTGCACTTCATTGTCAACAAAAACAGACAGAAAGATAAATGTTTATGTCTTTTTTTTATCATGATAAAATACCTTCCATACCTTGGAGTTGATTGAAAGTGTGAAACCTTAATATATCTTCATGTTTCAATGAGTAATAAATGAGAAAGAAGTCATATCAAATTAAACTTTGATTTTATTCTCACTAGCAGTAACTGTAAATTCTAAGGATTAAATGACAAATCATTGAGGTTATTTATAAGCTTAGGCTGTGTGGCAAAAAATCTGAAGTCTTAAGAGTGTTGAAAATGTAATGTGTTTTCTTTTTTTTTGCCTATTGAATCTTCATTGAAGCAGGCTCGACTAAGATCAGAATCACATTCACAGGGTTGGTTTAGCAGGCTCTGGATTGTATGCATTACAGATGAGTAAGCTGTATGTCATCACAGCTGGCTTGTGTGCTTTGGCAGGATAATGATTTCATTCATTTTGACAGACATTGTTCAGCCTGTCTTAATCTGGGAGGCTCAAAGACATGATCAGCAAATCAGAATCCAATAAGATTATCAGTTATATCACTGTCCTAAATCACACTCACTACCTGAGAGACTGTGTGTCTCACTTTGTGTGTTTGTGTGTGTGTGTGTGTGTGTGTATTCTATCTAGGGATTATAAAACAATGTAATGCATTGCTTCATGCATTAATTCATATCTTTATTGACGTGCAGAGGAAGGAACAGGGTGCATATATATATATATATATATATATATATATATATCTGTCTGATCCACTCGTACCAACACAACACACACAAACACACCACCACCACGTCAGTGTTACTGCAGTGCTGAGAATGATCCACCACCCAAATAGTACCTGCTCTGTGAGGGTCCATGGGGGTCCTGACCACTGAAGAACAGGGTGAAAGGGGGCTAACAAAGTATGCAGAGAAACAGATGGACTACAGTCTGTAATTGTAGAACTACAAAGTGCACCTATATAGTAAGTGGAGCTGATAAAATGGACAATGAGCATAGAAACAAGGAGGTGGTCATAATGTAATGCCTGATCAGTGTACATATATGTATGTATTCATGGGTAGATGAATTTTCAAATTATGCAAAACAGTTGCAACTGTGTGTGTGTGTACAATATTTTCAAATGGCAAAGAAATCATTACATTAATTTAGTTTTCAGTCAAAATGGGCATTCAAGTCAAATGAAAATAGGTGGAAAAACATAAGTTTCCAAAACTCGAGTTAAAAAAAAGTTACACTCTTGCTTCAGACCTGAAAAAATCTAGTGCTAGCTAAGTAAGTTAAGGTCCTGTCAACATTTCCCACTGCTTACCTGTTTGGCTATATCTTCATCCTCCTTAAATAGCTTTTTCATTCTGGTCTTCTCAGTGCCTCCTTGGTTTTTGAACTTTGTAGAGCACAGCCTGTTGCAGGGATGTGGGTAGGTGTTTTCAGTTAGGAGTGCTGAAATTTTGAGCAGAGTACATGTAACGTGACAAATGACATCATGAGAAATGATTTGCCTTTTTAATTTGATTTTTGCTTTTTTTATTTATTTCATTTTTCGTGCTGAATTACTTCAACCAGAATGTGTCATATAGTGCTATATTGAGGTGACAATATATACATCTAGCTGACACATCAAGCCACTGAAGCACATCATTGCTCTCTCATTCTGGACAAACTTTATGCAAATGAGCTGAGTGGTGACTAATTAGATTATCGGTATGTAGCACGGTAACTGATTATGTGACGCTCATGGTCACACGATGAGATTGAAACACACCCAGAGTGGGAGATATGACTGTTACATTAGATAATTCTTTTAAGCTTAAAAAACAATGTCAGGCTGCTTCGGGACTCAGAACTGCATTTGCTTTACCTCTTTGCACCTCAACCTGTGTGTGTTTTGGCGGCACCCCCAGAGTGGCCAACAGTTTTCAGCTCACTGTAATGAAAATACGGTGTTCACTTGAACAGTGCATCTGCTGCAGATACAAATACAAAAATACATACTCCGCTCTAAAATAAGCACACATGGGTCTACACTCAATTTGCTATAAAGCTCAGAACATTTTATTTTTATTGTATTTAACAGTTGCAATCCTGAAATCAGGGTTGCTGCAGCCCCCTCAGCTCCCCCACCTCTAATGCCCCTGGCCTGTTGTGTTAGCCAGTTGCATTGTTGCATTGAATTTAAAAAGCTAATCTCTCAAGGCTAATGTTATCGTCTTATTGGAATATAAGTTCCACCTAAATGGTGTAGCAGTTCCAAACTAGCACCAGTTCAGGTGTTTGAATGTAACCCTGTGGTGCACAACTCTGGTCCTGGAGGGCTGGTATCCAGCACAGTTTGGTGGTTTTTCTGCTCAAACACACCTGGTTGACCTCAACCTTAATGTCAAGGTTTAGTGGCTGTGTTTGAGGAGGGAAACTGCCACACTGTGCTGGACACTGGCCCTCCAGGCCTGGAGTTGTGCATCCCTTATAACTGCTGCATCATTCAAGGTGGAATGGGAAATGAAAATAAGAAGCTGTCTTCGGCTTCATCTCATCTCTATCTGATATACAAGAGTCAGTTACAAACCGGGGCTGTACATTAGGTCACAGCAACCAGTCCAAAACGCTACCTACCCATCGGGAATTCTCCTGACTCTCCTGATTACCCACTCCGGCATTGTCTTATACGGTCTGGTAGAAGGCTGGATGGACCCCCACTTGGTGAACAGAGAAAGGAAGGAGCGATATGTCTGAGGAACAAGGAGGAGATGGGATGGTGGTGGGGTATGAAAATGGAAGGTAGAGGTGGAAGTTTATAAGACATTACATGGGAAAGAGAAGTAGCCTTAGTCAGCTTTTTACCATGTCCAACTAAAGGAGTGTAAAGCTTTCCTGCAGTGAGCTATGGAGCAGTGGAGCTCCATTCTCCAGAGTGAAAGAGCTCCATCTAGTACCTTTGGGATGAGTTGAAGTGGCATCAATACAACATCAATACCTGACTTCACTAAAGCTCTTGTAGCTGAATGACATCAAATCCTCACAGCAATGTTCAAACATCAAGTGTAAAGCCTTCCCAGAAGAGTAGAGGCTAGAAGCTATTACTGCAGCAAAGTGGAGATGGTGGGGACTGTTGGGGGGGCAGGAGGGGGCTTTGGAGGGTGATGGGGCGAATGCTGGATGAGTGGGTGTCTTCAAACGTTTGAACATGTATAGTGTGTACATTGTAAACTGGGATTTTCTTATAAATAATTTGGATGATAGGTCTTAAAGGCGAGTGTGCCTCTGTGGTGTGTGGATGAAAGTGAGAGAGAGGGAGAGAGAGAGAGAGAGAGAGAGAGAGAGAGGAAAATGGAAAGATGCATGTGACTAGGCAGAGAATAGCACAAACACATGGCCTCTGAGTCTCTGGAGCGAAGCTGCTTGGTGTTGCGTTAGCAGCGCTGTGTTGGTGGAGACATTTGCATTTTGTGCTTCTCGTTTATCATAAGCACATATCATAGTCCCACGCACTCTCGTCAGTGGAGGCGCGATGTGTGCGTGTGTGTGAGGTGGGAATAGAGGAGAGATAAAGAGCTGCAGAATATAGTTTGCTCTGCACACGGGTTAGTGTGTGTGTGTGTGTGTGTGTGTGTGTGATAATACGATAAGGTCCATCTGTCATTGGTTGCCGCCTCATGACAGCTCTGCATCATGTTTTCCTAAAAGGAGATTTGTTGGATTATTTGGATGTGGACTGTAACACTCAGCTTGTGTTAGAATGTAGATTCATATTTATTAGCTAAGACCCACAAAATTGCTAAACAGATGGAGCATTATGTAATAGGAATATAACACAGCATATCACGTGCACTGAAAGCTTAAAGTGCCCATATCCTGCTTTTTTTCTTGGATTTTGTATTTCTCTCTGAGGGCCACTTATGCTATGTGTGTTGTACCAAAAACAGTCAGAATTATTTACCTGACTATTTTCCAACATGCTGTTTATCTTACTGTGCCTTTAGCACTGATACAGTACTGTGCAAAAGTAGGTTAATTAAAAGCAAATAATTAAAAAATTATTTTGGCGATAAGTGTGTTTTAGCGTGCTAAAACAGCATATATCATGCTATATGCAAATATAAATACAGTAATAAGAATTTCCTATGTCTTATTTTGTGAGCTAGTCTGAAGAACAAAGTTTGGTTCCAAGTTTCTCCTCAATGCCACCCAGACACTATATGGATTTGTTAAATTTCATCACCAGCAACCTGATTTAACATGAAGTACTGAATGAGCCAAAACATCTGTTGGATGTTAACTACAAATAGTACTGGGCTTCCTCAAGGAGAGGTTTGAAAATAGTTGAATGAACTCACATTCACATACTCAACTATCTATATTAATATTATTTGTATTTATTCCAATATTAGTGAGCAAATAAACACTTACTGCGCAGATGAATGCCTTTTGTAATTGTAATTTTCTCAAACTTTTGCACAGTACCGTATCTAAATGATTCCTGTTCTGATTGGCTGAAGCAAAAAAGCAGTCCAGGCTGGTGACATTACATTGAATTCAAAATGAGCAATATTTGCAGCTTAATTTTCATACATGGACTGTGTTGATTGGGGAATGAAGAGTACACTTTGAGACTTTTTACAGTGGTTACGTATCCATACCAATGACTTTGGCTACCATTATCCATTTTTATCAGCACATTTCTTATCATTTTATATAATGAAACAAAACCAACACCAAACCAGTTGCAGGTTGTTCAGTAAAATCCATGCACATTAACCTATAAAGACACACAGACACACTTCAATATTTCCAATAATGCATTTTGTGTCCCCCTTGCAGACCTGGCCCTGGAGAAAGCTCTCTTTGGCTGTGTTCTGAAACCACTGAAGCTCCAGCTGGGCCAGACACTGCTCTGCCTCCACACCCAAGACGGCTCTCTCCAGAGATTCGCCAACAGCCTGCAGGCGTGCCAGCAGGGGACGCTAGAGCGCCTGGGTGTGCGTGCTGGAGTCCTGGATGCTCAAGGCATTGAAAGAGCGAAGAAGAAGCTAACTCTAATGCAGCGGAGCCACTCGCCCATAGACAAAGTGTTGCTGCTGCTGCAGGTGTGCAAGAGTGTGTACAAGGCCATGGGAACACAACCTGGTGAGTGAGCCCTCCAGTCTCATTCCGGCCTGTCCACTCCGCCTCCGTTTGCATGTTCACCTGGAGTGTTCTCCATATTGAGAGCTAACCCAAAGTAACTGGTGGAAGCAGGAGTGGGCTAAAACCCTCTGACAGCGAGCCTGCATACACTGAAGTAGAACTTGTTAAGCACGATGGAGGACAGAGCAATAGGCCTCGTTCACCAATCCTTCGTACGAAGAAATTTCTTCTTAAAAACCACTTACACAGTTTTCACGAAGTTTCTAACTTTCACCAATGTTTTCTTATTTGAGATTTGTTCTTAGGTAAGAGCGAATCCACACACACACCCAAGAGCACAAAGGTGCGAACAATGCTGGGGTGTGTGGTCTCTTAGCCTGATGTCTTTTTCTCTGAAGCCATTTTGCCTGAGACCATAAGTTTACTCATACGTGTTTCCTGAAACATGAAGTCAGTTTTTAGTCTGAGACCTCACGCTGTGGTGTGAGGATGTCCTAAATTGTATGCCTTAACAAATGCAGCTTTGTACACACATAATATCTGCCTGCCATACTGAGCATGTTTTACCAGCACAGTGTTTTTAGAACAGTCATATCTATGCTAGGTACAATAAATGTGATATTAATGTAGGATATCACTTTACCCACCCAGTGTTTGAAGGTTCAGTCATGTTCACATGTGGAAACACAGCTATCTTGTTACGGTATGCATGAAGTAAATCAATAAAAGAATGACATTTTTTTTAAAACTGCCGGTAAAGAAGTATTTACCATCGCTGTTACTGCAGTAATTTAACCATCACTGGACACAGGCCTAATAATTGTTTTTCTTTCCACATTAAACTTGAATCCCTGCAAGCATCAATTTAAAACACTTATTTTATTGCATATGTTGATTGTTTCATTGGCAGGATGTTGTAGATTTTTGTTTTCTTTTTGTTATCTTTTTCTGTAAACTAAAAGCTGTAAATGTAAGCTCTGATCTTTGCCTCTTGTGAAAATAGCACAGCAATCCGTAGTCATGGAGACGGCAGCTTCCTCCTCTAGGAGAGTAGCAAGGGCATCCTAAACTTTATTCATATATTTATTCCCTTTCTGTTCATTAGGAGTGCCCAGTGTCTCACAAAGAAAAGTGCTGTTTGTGGACTTTCTTTACTTAGATCAGTGTTATTAGTCATATAGAGTGTCAGTGGTAGTCAAAATACAGCACGTTAGGGGGATATTTAAGGGTATTTTACAGTAATATCACCCATAAATGCCTTTACAGAAACAGTGGGTAGTAATTTGATAGAAATCTTTAATCCGGAAAGTGTTGTCAGATAACAAATCACTGGGATAATCGATGAAAAAATGAGATATGACATAACTTGGAGAAAGACCACACATTCCATCTCTCCCCTCTATTTTCTATGATAAAGTTTTTCCCACCAGTTTTTGCATCCCTTATTTCTCCTGCCTTCTACATGCACTATATAGACAAAGGTATTGGGACACACCTCTTAATTGTTGAGTTCAGGTGTTTCAGATGAATAAAATTAAGCACAGAGCATTGCAGTCTCAATAGACAAACACTGGCAGTAGAATGGGTCGTACTGATGAGCTCAGTGACTTTAATCATGGCACTGTCATAGGATGTTACCTCTGCCACAAGTGAGCTGGTGAAATGTCTGTCCTGCTCAATCTGCCCCTGTCAATGCAAACTCAGAGTGTGGCTGGTGAGTGCTGAAGCGCACAGTGCCTATCCTCTGTTGAATCACTCACTAAAGAGCTCCAAATTGCCTCTGGAAGCAACATCAGCAAAAAAACTGTGCATCAGGAGCTTCACAAAATGGGTTTCTGTGGCCAAGCAGCCACACAAAAGCCTAAGATCAAAATGCACAATGCCAAATGGGGGGCAGGGTGGGTGGTGTAAAGCAGGTCACCACTGGACTCTGGAGCAGTGGAAATGCATTCTGTGAAGTGGTGAATCACGCTTCTCTATCTGTCAGTCTGATGAACGAGTCTGGGTTTGGCAAATACCAGGAGAACGTTACCTGCCTGACTGCATTGTGCCAACTGTAAAGTTTGGTGGAGGAGGGATAATGCTATGCGGTTTTTTTTTCAGGGATTGGCCCAGGACCCTTAGTTCCAGTGAAGGAAAATCTTAATGCTTCAGCATACAGACACATTTTGGACAATTGCATGCTTTTAACCTTGTGGGGGCAGTTTTGGGGAAGGCCCTTTTCTGTTCCAGCATGACTGAGCCCCAGTGCACAAAGCAAGGTCTATAAAGGCATGGCTGGCCGGGTTTGGTGTGGAAGAACTTGACTGCCCTGCACAGATCCCTGACTTGAACCCCATCAAACACCTTTGGGATGAACTAGAATGGAGATTGCGAGCCAGGCCCTTTCGTCCAACATCAGTGTCTGACCTCACAAATGCTCTTCTGGATGAATGAGCAAAAATTCCAACAGACACACTCCTAAATCTTGTACAAAGTCTTCCCAGAAGAGTGGAAGCTGTTATATTAATGCTTATAACTGTCCATATTAATTTTAATTAATTAATAAATATTAATGCCTATGGATTTAGAATAGGATGTCATAAAAGCTCTAGTGGGTGTAATGTGTAGGTGTCCCAAAACTTTTGTTCATGGAATGTTTCTCTCAGCTCTTTAGTGTAAAGCAAAAGCAGCCCAGAACTCCAGCTCAAATTCAGGTTCCTTACTCTTTATAGTCCCATATCACTTCTCAATGTTCATCCATAAAAGATACATTGCCTTGGACCATGAACTATCTCATCTCTGCACTTGCAAACCAGTGATTGGATATTTATCACTGTAGCTAAATTTTGAAATTTCTATGCATTTTTTTCTGTGGAGAATTTCTGACCTCTGTTTAATTTGCTGGCTTGCAGGTCAGGACTACAGCTCGGAGGAGTTCCTGCCCGTGCTGTCCTATGTGGTAGTCCAGTGTAACATCCCTCAACTGCTGTTGGAGACGGAGTACATGATGGAGCTGCTGGAGCCATCATGGCTGACAGGGGAAGGTAAGAGCCCTTAGGAGAAGGACAGTAGCATAGAACACTGAAGTTTTTGTACACTGGAGGTTTCTGACTGAGAGTGTAATTCACTTTAATACCACTGTGTGTAACATCTATTTATTAGTAATGCCATGAATATTCAGTTTTTTGTTTGAACATATCGACTTTCAGAATTGTGTATTTAATATAATTGGATAGGTTTCAAAATCTGTACTTTGAGCCCTCTGAGTTGATGAACAAAAGTAGTAGTAGTAGCAATTAAAGCTGCAGTGGGACTGAACAAGCTTGTTCTAAGAGTATGTTAAAACGGCCCTCTATTCTGATGGTCTTAAGCAAATGGCAAATTTATTATGTGAAGAATATGTATATCGACTGGCGTGAATCATTGCCAGCTACTGTGTTGACATGTTTTTTTGTCAGCCATTCAGCTGTAACTGTCTTGTGGTAAACACGGAAATATATGGGTTTATGAGGACCTAAGCCTGAGCTGCCACATGAATGTTATTCTGTAGGAGGGTACTACTTGACGAGTGTCTACGCCAGCGTGTGCCTAATCCAGAGCCAGCCTGGGACCCCATCCACCAGTGGCTTAACCAACGAAGCCAGAGAGAGTCTGAGAGAGTGGAGCAGAAGAAGGGGCCAAGAGGCCAAGATCCAAAGAGAAAGCCAACAAAACCAGGTTTAAAAGCACACACATACACTCACACTCATCTGCTGGTCCAGCCACACAAACTTCTAAACGTCTAGCTTACATTGTTTCTATTCACTGTCTTCCTCCAGCAGCTGTCAGCATGCTCTATGCAATGCTTTATTCTGAATAACCTTGAACATTTCGCTCCTTTATTGTTCTGGGTACCTGATTTGGCTCCCATTTCAGTCTTTTTCCAAACATTTGATGAGTGATGTGCTCCGCCACCCCCATCACCACCTTCTCATCTCTGTGCTCCTGTCAGCTCTGTGTTTGCATGAAATTTGAAGGTGGTCCTTCAGCACCCACTTCAGGCCATGTCTACCACATTACTGTACCTTAACAAAAGAAACTAAAACAAAACATTTTATAGTTACACTATAACTGGTCATAATATGTTTTATTGCTGGTTTGTAACAGCTTTTTTCAGTGTCTATGCTATTTAAATTCCATCAATTTAGGTCCACTGCCTGCCAAATGTTTTAAAATGTTTTGATACTACATTAGAATAAAACTGCACTTATAAAGCGTTTATAAATGCTTTGCAATTAGTTAAATAATATTTAGTAGTTATGTCTTAAGCATTTTAAAAATTATTAATAAGCAGTTACAACAAAAAAGTGAGCTGTTATATTTGATGAATATGAATATGTGATGAGGCTGATACATTAAATGCTGACTGATGGAAAAGACAAAGTAAGAACAGTAAACATCAAAATCTGAGCTTTAACAGTATAAGTGAATGTGGGTTCACTATTAAGCAAACAGCAGTTCACTGTTGTCCTTTTTATTTTTGTGTTTGCTTATTAATGATTTTAAAGTGTTTATGACCTAGTTAATAACCATTAATAAACGCATTCTAAAGACGTTTTATAAGGGTAGTCTTATTCTGAAGTGGTACCAATGTTTTAATACAAATAAGCATGATTTATTTGTCGGTTTGTGATAACTTATTAAACACTAACAATGTTTATTTTGAGAAAAACAGTATCACCTTTTTCTGACAGTGCTATCTTGTGAATAATGCCAAACCCCAGACATTTATTGGCAGCGCTTATCTCACTACAAAAAGTTATATCTTGGCAAGTGAAAACATCTTAAATCTAGTTAACATATCTAATGTATCTTATGATGACAGTGCTGTAAGAATATTCTAAGATTATTTAGCTTATTTCTTTATGTTTTTACTTTTTAAGTCATTTTTATCTAGTAAAATAAAATAAAAAATAAAAGCTTGTTTTGGGAAGTAATACAGATCATTTTGCTTGTTTTAAGGAGAACAGTACATTTTGTACAACATTGGGTTCTGATGAAGACTCGCCAGCTTTTTCAGCCTTAAAGAAAATTAGTATAAAAAAGGATTTCTTACAGTACAGCACTGAAACTTTTGCAGTGTTTAAACCAACATTGGGCCAAATAAATTCAATATTTGTGTTAAATAACAGTTTGGAAAATTATTATTTAGGCAAAACCAGCTGAGTATTGCAAAATATACTCAGCGCTAGCAACAAGCTGTTTTAAAAGCATTTTAAAAATATTTCTTTCTAACTTTTTTAACCTGTTTACTGTGAAGTAAAAGGAAGCAAGAAAGTGTCCCCAAACGTTTCACAGGGAGACAGATCCCAGTCAACATTCTCTAATCACACTGCCCGTGTGTGTGTGTGTCTGTGTGCAGAGGTTTGTGCGGGTTCTGTTCCAGAACACAGAGCAGAGTGCAGCGCGGACCCTGCACTGGAAGGCCGGTGAGAGTGTGGAGATGTTAACCCAGACCTGCGCTGGAGCGTTCGGAGTGAGTGACCCTCAGCACTACTGTCTGTTCTGGAGGAACGGAGGGGAGATGCAGCCTCTTCCTCTACACACACAGCCCCACGAGCTGGGCACGCACGCAGAGGGAGCGGCCACCCTGTCCTACCTCCGCAAGGACCACGACTTCAGCAAGATGCGCAGGCTGACCAGAGGAGGCGCAGTGGACATCGAGGAGTCCGTGTGCGAAGAGTGAAGATGAAGAGATGAGAGGACTTTGATTTGTTTCAGTTTCAGCTTCGCGAGATCCTCTTCACTGGCCCTGAACTCCACTAAGGTTTAGTATGAAGGCCTGTGGACTGTGCCTGTATGTGTGTGCGTATGTGTGGGTGACTGTTTACTTCAGATGTTGCAAAAATGCTCAGTTTTGCGTGTCGGTCTGCCACTGAAGACACAGAAAAGCTCACTTTCAGGCTACAAAGCTAGCTGGAATGGAGAAAGATCCTTGGCAATAATGCTTAAAGCAATATTTGCCAGTAAAGGAATCAGGAACCATCGTTCTTTTTTTAAACTCTTGCTGCACAGAATCTAAATATCTGTGGTTCTAGTTGTCAGTGTCATTAGTATGGTTGCCAAGGGTCTTTGCCTGCCGAACTTCAATACCAAAGTGTTGAACATGATGTCTTTATACAGCATCTTTTTTAAACAGGTGGGTGAAAAAAAATCTATAATAAATCTCTATATATATATTTATTATGTACATTTACACGTATGCATCTGAGATGCCCCAAGTGTCAGTATGTGATAGAGTCCGTAAGAAGCAAGACTCTTTCAGCTGTATTGTAGTGCTTTAACATGAGGAGAAAACAGAAGATCATTTCTGGTCTTGTAACAGCACATCATTTTTTTCAGTATTTCAAGGTTGTCTCTGGTATCTTTTTAAACCGTAAAACTTGAAAAACTGTACTTTGCTTAATTTAGAGCTACTTTATTTTGCTCAGTATTGACTGAATGAGCTAAGGTCTTTGAGTTGTATTAATAATGTCTAAGCTGAAATTTTGTTGGTTTCTCATCTCGGTGAATTCTCTAGACATTCCATGTAAATGGACGTCATGAAGAAGTTCCGGCTGGACAGAGGAGCAGTGTCCAGCCTGTGTTTCGTACCGTGTTGCATTCGCTGAATGTGCTGTAATGGTAACACCCTATGGTGGTTTAAGTGATCGCAAAAACACTGATTGACTGGTTTTACATTGAGTTAACTGACCGTTTCGTCATTTCCTGTTGTGTTTGATCCATAAAGACACTTAATATTGTAACACTTTATTGCTATCATGTATGGTTTTTAAACTCTGTGTGAGTAAATGAGTACGAATTCAATTCCAGTGAGGAACAATTTGCCAGTCAGTGCAAATGGACTTTATATTTGGAATGATGTCGTCAAAATATTTGATTTCTGCATGCAGTCAGTTGTGATGATGAGTTGTCACTGATGTCAAATGTGCATGTTTGGACTGCTAAAGCAAGAATCTAATTTTTTTTTCTTCCTGAATGCACTGATACGACTGTGCTGTATTTTTGTTCAGTAACAAACTGCATTAAATCTTTGTGGATGCTCTGAGTGAAAATACTGTTTCCAGTATATTAAAATAATGGTTTGGTAAAAAGCTATTTGACACAATTTGCACTTACCTCAGATGTAGTTGATCACACAGGAATCTTTGGCATTCAGATTTTGCTTCTTTAGTTTTAACTGAAGCCACGAGGCTAAGATAGTTAAACACTAGAAGTCAATAGTCACCCAAATCGGTTCTATAAATACGCCCCCAAAACCGCTCTCAACACGTTAAACTCCATCCATGTTCTTTAAGGTTGCACAGAGACAAACTGAACAAAACTTCACTATTTAGCTGAACATTAATTTCTGTTTTTTTCTTTTTCATATATTACTGTTCATCTTTATTTTATGAACTGAAGGCGTTTTTTTATAAATAGAAAGAGCAGAAATGCCAAACATAACCTAGCATCAATATACCTGTGTGACATTTATTCACATAAAGGGGAGTCAGATTCTGTGGGGGAGTTGGAATTTAGCACAACACCTGTCTAAAATAGCTGCTCTCAGGGTCCAGCTTTACTGTGAATTTTTGTTCATTTTTATTGCTCACAGTAAGTCAAATTGTGTTCTAAACCATTTCCACATGTCTGTGGAACCTGGTTGTAGTTTTGGAGATGGATTTATGGAAAAATGACTGTTAACGTCTGGTGTTTGTTAGCAATGGTAGTCTCATAACTCCAGTTTAAAACTAAAGAAGCAAAATTTGGACACCAAACATGTCTTCACTGATTAAGCACATCTGGGGTAAGTGAAAAATTGTGTAAATGAGATTTTAGAGGTGTCCAGTCATATCCACAAAGGGTTAGTGTGTCTACCGGTTTTCAGTGCAATCAGACAGGAGCTCACCTGACTCTACTTGTTTAATCAGTCGGTTCAACAACTGACCATGTGAGCTCCTGCTCCTGTTGGAATGAAAACCTGCAGCCGCACTAGCCCCTCGTGGATAAGATTGGACACGCTTTGTCTAAACAGAAATCAGCCTGTATTTGTGTAGTACCCTGAGTGTAGTACACTCCACTAGATGGCATTCAGGTTCTTCTTTCAGTGTCTTCAGCAACCTGCTCCGCTGATGAGAACAAGATTCTCTTAAAGTGTACTGTACAACAAACTGCACTGTAGACCAGCAGCTTTTTATGATATTAAGCATGAACATTTTTACAGCTTGTGAAAGTTTAGGCATGTAAAGTAAAGGAAACTATCACAGAAGACAGAAAACTGAGAGTAATGTTATAATGTGCTTTTGTTTCTATTTATAATTTCAAATATTGATTTTTATTTATTTTTCTTTTAGATTATCCCACTTAATAGTGGGTTTTCACAATATCCTCATATTTCCCTTTGTTTACTGTGTTTGTCTGTGTAAATGCACACTATATGTCCAAAAGTATCCAGACATCCCTTCTGATTGGTTAATTCAGGAACTTAAACTTCACCCTTTGACAGAGGCATTCAGTTCTGCACATGCAGCTTGTATAATGTCTTTAGAAAAGCTCTGCCAATAGAATTGGACCCTTTAAAGCAGCCACACATGAGCCTAAGGTCACCATACCCAATGCTAAGAGTCAGCTAGAGAAGTATAAAGCCCCAAGCATTGAGCTGCGGAGCAGAGGAACTGCGTTCTCTGGAGTAATGGAGGTCTGGAGTAAAGTGGTATTTGTGATCCATAACTTATCATCTCACCTCACTAATGCCTTTCTGGCTGAATGCAATCAAGTCCTCACAGCAATGGCCCAAAATCCAGTGCAAAGCATTCTCAGAATAGTACCTTTGATTTCAAAAGAAACATTGAATAAACAGGTGTCTGCAAACTTTTGGATGTATAGTGTTTACATTTATATCTGCATAGTTTCAGGTTTCATTTCACAGCTCCACCAAGCTTATCCAGAACCTTTAGCCCTTTCTCCTCATACTCTGCTTTCGACAACCAGAATGACTCTTTATCTTTCATGATGTTGGCCAGCACGGCCCCACCCATGAACACCATGTGCTTACGGCGAGGAGGATCTTCTATACGGATCTTGAACTTCTGCAGAGGAAGAGAAAAAGAGAGAAATGAGTAAGAGAAAGAGTGCTGTGGGGTTTGATTATGCAGCCAAGAGGTGGGTGGCATACTCTTACATAAGCAGTAATTTGCTTTAATAATAATTCATGCTTTAAATAACTTGCTAGCGTTCATTATGTCACTGCCTGTTCAAATGCTGAAGTATATCAGACGCTGTTACAGTGTGAGATCATAGGTTCTGAACTCCTTCATTGCCTTAACATGTAGTTTCAGTTATGCAAAAGACTGATGATGTGTTTATGGACCAGTGCTTCACAATTAGCTGATTACAGACAATATAACTGCTTTATTATGTCAGTGAATGATAGATCTAATAAGTCTTGACTCTTTTTGATCATCCAGATGTAGTTAAGATGTTGCAAAATATGAAAGTAGCCAGATCATTCAAGTAAGTCAGTGAACTGTCCCTTTTCAATTCCAAATCAGTTGTTTATATTTTTGTAAATTCAGCTTGCTACAGTCTTTAGAGTGACACTGGCGAGCAAGAGCATGGAAGTTTTTAAAAGGAAAACTCCCTAGGAGCATGAAGAAGAACCACTAAGAGGAAGCAGGACTCAAATGGCAAACGCCCTAAGTTCGTGATGAAGAACCACCAAGAGAAACCAAGACTCAAACGAGAAATTCTTTAAGAGCATGAGGAACAAACTCTGGAATCAAGATTCAAAAGGGAAATTCAAACCTCTCAGATTAAACAGAGGCTTTTGAATCATGCTGAAGAAATGTTGATGGGCTAAGAGAGTGACCGATGTTTATCATATCATGCCTCACAACCAGTGAGGCATGATATGATATATCATGCCTCACTGGTTGTTTGATGTTTGATATGAGATTAACACATTAAAAAAAACAATAACAGCAATTATAATACTCAAAAGTTGGAATAAAATCTCTTTACATTAACTTACACTAAAAGTTAAAAAAAGTTTTTGCCTTCTCCTTTAAAGTTACTATTTTGGAAATACATGTTTTCTTTGGACAGCAACAATATGCATTTTCATACCGAGAGTTTGTCTGTGTCTCCACGCAGCACTCTTTCCAGGTACAGCTGCTTGATCTCTCTCTCCAGTCGGGATGGCAGCCCAGGGTACATGGTTGTCCCACCAGACAGGACAATGTGCTTGTAGAACTCTGCCCTGCAGTGGAGAAAGATTTCACAGGCTATAATTATATATATATAAAAGCATATTGGTGTGTTTGTTTATACAAATTGGTTATACAGCAATAAGCACAGAGAACTGAGAAATACCATGTGCGACCAAGATGAGATGAAGGGCTGCTACATAAAAAGTGTCTCAGAACAGACGTGGATGTAAAAGCAGGTTCACTGTTACTAAAAAAAGGAGCCTGATTGATGTTATAACTGACCTGAGGTCGATGTCAGCAGCCTGGATGGTGTTGAAAAGAAGCTCGGCCACCCCAACCCCCTCTACGTTTATGAGGTGTGGCTGGAAGAGTGCCTCAGGGGCCCCAAACCTCTCTCCCCCGACCAGCACTGTGCGTCCATCTGGTAGCTACAGCAAGACAGGTTTACAGAGCCATTAGACTTTATAACAGCTCTATATTCTGCAAGGTTTTAACCCCTTAAGTTCTAAAGATTGATTGGTTGGTCCAGGATTGCTCTCCTCACTCTCCTAAATACATACCTTAAATAGTACTCTCATGAATAATTCATAGAAGTTATTGAATAATAAGCTAAGAGTTTAAGAGGTTAAAGGAATGTCCCAGTGCTTTTCTTGCCAGAAACAAGAACACATGTCTGGAGACAACTTATTAAATCTTTGGTGCTGGAATATGACATGAACAAAGATATGCCCCCTCTGAAACCTATCCCCAAATTCTTCTAGCCTGTGCTTTTTAAACATACAGAGTACAGTCGATAACACAAGCAAAACAAGTTAGCTAGCAAAACATTTTCTTTAGCGAACTAAACTGTTTTTCCTTGCAAGAGGTCATTTTTAATTTAACTGCATGTAATGTGTTATCTTGGCACGCAACACACATCTATATGCTACATTTGGAGTTTCAGGGACATTTTCAGCCATGCTAATATGGGCTAATGATAAACTTGTTGTCCATCTAACAGTGATCATGAGTGCACCATCACCCCCTACTTTGCGCTTTGCCCAAGATGTTGAGCTGGTTTTACAATTTCAGTTTGTTCTCAGCCTAATAAACTTGTCTCTACCCAATTTTTTTATGGTATCCTCAGATGTTCTCATTACAATGTCACGTCTGGCCATGCAAGACTAGTGTTTAACCTTATTTCTATCTGCCGCATTTGTATCATGCAATCAATACAGAGAACTTGTTGATTTGAGGCAAATGCTCTTTGGTTTCTATTGTAAGCGAGTTAGAGTTAATGGGCTTTCTATTCTTTTCTAATCTCAGGGTATTGTGTTGAAATTAAGTTCTGTGGTAATCAAATTTACGCTACACATTGGCATAACTGGGGGATTGCACTGTGTATAGTGCAGGGGTGCCTGCGGTGACAAGGCCTCTTAAAATCTTCACTGGGCCTTACAGAAACATCCCACTTTTTAACAAAATAACTATATACTTCCTAAAATATACTTCCTTCTACACAGACAGATCTGATGTCTGTTTATTCATAATGTAGCTCATCCATGATAACCATTTTCAGATCCTTCACAACCTGCAACATGATACATTCATTGTTTATGAGTCTAAAATCTTAAATAGGTAGTCTAACATAAACATTTGGATTAATGTTAGACACTAATGGGTGGAGTGGTGTGCCTTAGGAGTGTCAAACTTGTTGAAACATAACAATAGTGAGTTTACAAAGAATTCATTGAAGGTCATTTTTGTATGGGGGCCCATTAATTCTTTTGGCACTGGGGCCCATTAAATCCTAGTCATGCCACTGACAATACAGATGTAGAAATTAATCAATTTTTGGACCATTCCTTTAACCCCTTAGATGGCCAAGGCCCACCAGCAGGCCCAAAGTTTAGCTCAGCCAATTTGCATTGAAGTCCCTGTAGTTACTAAGTAATAAGCTTTAGTAGGTAATAAGCCAGGGATTTTAAGGCGATCATGTATTATGTATGTATATTTCAGTTTTCACCTATGTCTAATGTCAATCACACTTCATCTGTAGTGTTACTCACACAACCTCAAGTGTTTTGTGTGCGTGTGTTTGCAGGTGTATGTGCATCAGGCCCATATCAGAAGGAAAAGCACTGAGGCATGGTGTATATTACCATGTAGGACTCCACTAGGAAGGTTGTCTCATTGGCCAGTTTCTGCTCCTGTTCGATGTTGTAACCCACAAAGCACAGCTTTTCCTTCAGCATGCGGACCGTCTCAAAGTCTGCGGAGTGGTTGAAGGCGTAGCCCCTCAGCAGCAGCAGCTGACCAAGTAGAGGCAAAAAAATCAATACACCAACGCTGTGTTTGAAATTGCACCCTGTTCTTAAAAGGGAATTCCATCGACATTGCAAAATTTCAGCACAATTAAATGGTTAAAGTGTAAACTAAGCCTTCCAGAGTTTTCTAGAGAAATGCTCAGTCAGAATTCATCACAGTAGTGCTGATGGAACCGGTTTAATGCCTCTAAAAGCATCACATAAAATTATTACATGAAATCATCATTAATATGCTGCCTGATGCATTTTTTTCACCATGGTTTTGAGTAAATTGAAAAATGTTATTATTTTGTCTAGTTTAAATATTTTATTAAAGCTTAATCAATTTATATAATTGATTAAGCTTTTTTAATTTTTTCATTTTTGCATACCAAATAAGATGGGTGGATGGGTATATCATTTTACGGCCCTGTTTAGACACACTTTGTTGTCTCTTGACTCATTGAAAAATGATGGATGCTGAAAATAGGCAAATACTGGACATAATGTGGACATAATTTGAACATAATATGATATATTGGTGAAGTAATAGCAGCCAAGTTCACAACCGACTGAAGCCCATTGGTTTACTTTAATCACATCATATCTCTGTAACCATATACTGTTGTATGTAAATGTTTAAATACCCTTTATCAAATTAAGTTTTGTTGATTTTCTAAGTGAAAAATAAGATAACGCATCATCTACAGAGAACACACTGAGACATTATGTTAGAAATAAAGGTTTTGCGCTGGTACATTTTTTGTTCATTAAGGTACAAGCAATGTAAATGTTCCCTCAAAGGTACAACAGTGGTTTTAAGGGCCGATTGTGAACCTTAAATACATTTTTCCAGGTGAAAAGTACATATTTGTGTCTTTTCATAACCTAATGATTTAAAACAGAACAATAAAATAAAAAGCCTGGAGATGAGACGGGGTGTGTGGAGTCAATACAACATAGAAAATATAATCTCAAAGGATTATGGTACAGTTATGTTCCCTGATTAAAGGTACTGAGATGAACCCTTGAGTGAGAGGGGCACTGCCCCAGTGACAGTTTACTACCTTTATTTTTGAGTGTGTAGTTTTATGCAAATTTTAGTTCTCAATTTCTATATATTTGCTAAGCTTTACATATTGGAATAAAAATAACACTTTTGCTGTAAAATGTACTATAATGTTTGCAAAGGCCAAATTTTATGCTTTTTTCCTAATATATTAAATTCAGCAAATACACAGAAATTGTACATTAAATGTGCAGAGGTTTGTTCTCTATAAAGGACATGTTAACATTTTTACTTAAATTTGACCAGACATTTGCATAGGACTGTATATATCTCTACATACTGAAAGAAGGTCATGGCCTCCAAAGTGTCATATTGTATAATAGTGCTCTGATACTGATGTCCAAATGTTCAGCAGTCTAAATACCGGTCAAATTCATAGGCAGTTCACAAGTTCAGAGAAAGTGGCAGTTAGGGAGCACACCACACCTTGATGAGGTAGCGTGTAATGTCACGTCCTGCGATGTCCAGTCTGCGAGTGAGGTGGGGGAGGGAGAAGCCCTCATAGACTGGACAGATATGAGTCACACCATCACCTGAGTCCACCACCACACCAGTCAGGAGACCTGACACAAGAGTACAGGTTAGCAGATTCAGTCCAATCTCATATGAGAGTTTCATTTTTACTTATAAGCTACTTTTATGATTCAAAGTTTAAAAAAATCTTCATATTGTCACTGTCATAAGATGCATGAATGCATTTCAAAGTAGCAAGAGTTTATTCCAAATAATTTTGGACCATTTCGGTTTACCTGAAATTCTAACCATCATCATTATCAAAGAGAACTGAAACCTGATTAACCTCATATCCTTAGCTTCCTCTCTTACCCTGTGCATAGAGCGTCAGCACAGCTTGGATGGCAATGTAGATGCCGTGGAACTTGTAGGTCTCAAACATGACCTCTGCAATCTTCTGCCGGTTCTTCAGAGGGTTCAGCGGCGGCTCTGTCAGCAGGACCTTACAGTCTGACGGATTAATGTTGAGACGCTCTGGTCCGAAGGTGTGGTCCCACAGGTGGATCATGTCCTCCCAGTTCCGTACCATTCCGTTCTCCATGGGGTAGGAGACCTCCAGCATGGACCGGCATTCACTGGCCTCCTCCCCAACCATCAGGTCCTACAGGCAGGGTGAAGGGATAGATGTCAGATACATACAATACTCATAATAAAGGTGCCTAAAAGGAAAAAGCACTGGGTTCCTTGACCCCTTATATGGCCAGGGCCCTCCAGTGGACCCAAAGTTTTATTACATACTTCTATAACCTAAGAATAGCTTAACCAGTTTGCACTGAGGTCTCTGTAGTTAGTGAAGCTTAGTATGTAATAAGCCTGAGATTTTAAGGGATTAAACACATTTTGATTTCATTTTTTGTAAATAAATCTTGCAAAGAACCTGTTTAAAGTTTAATAAACCTCCACACAATGTTAAAGTTGATTACCAACTAAAACATATTCCTTGAACTGTACAGAGGTGGGTAATCCAGGTATAGGAACCCTCCCCAGGATTTACTTCCAACTGCCTAAACTCATTTGCTGCTGGTTTGAGCAAACTAGAGAAGTCAGGCAGTTGGGAAAAAAAAATTCTATTTTTACTCTTTGGACGTTTAGACTTGTACATTTTAAGCAAAACAAATGTTCTCACTCATTACTTATGTGTGGCCTTGGAAGAAGACTATGAGGCCTAGGGTGCCACTTAGGACAAGTCTTATGTATTGTATGTTTCAGGTTAAGAATGCTTATGCAGGAAGTATTCATTTAAGGTAAAACTTGACCTCAAGCATATTTGACCTCAAGACTTACCTTAATTACAATATTGCCAACTTTAGTGTCTGAGCGTATGACAGGTCGGCCCACAAGTGCTGGGAAGATGTGCTCAGGAAAATTGGACCCAGCAAAACCGCACTTGACAAACTGCAAATCAATGAGGATCAGTCAATAATAACATGACCTTTATATATAAAAAAGACAATGTCATATATAATACAAAACTAAGCTGTTTTTGCAGTCAAGATAGGCTTGAAAATGAGTGAAAATGCTTGCATGCCTGTTCTTTCCTCTAAATCTATGACAAAACTATGTTACTGAATACTCTATTATAGACCAGGTGTCCAATCTTATCTGAAAAAGGCCACTGTGGCTGCAGGATCTTATTCCAAACGAGTTGGAGCTCATCTTATTCTACTCGTTAAATCAGTTGGTCTCAGTCTTCAACAGCCAGTCATGTGTGCTCCTTCTTTTTTGGAGCTAAAACCTTGAATGTAGGCTATGTTATGAGAAAGGGGCTTATATGTCTAACTACAAATACTATATAAGTGATACATGAAATGAAGTGCTGCAGTGACATGCAGTAGGTAACCAGTATTATTCTGCATCTTCGCTTTTGACAGAAATTGTTATTAAGGCCAGGGTCAGTTTTTTTTTCAGTTTCACTTCTGGTGCTCAGTTCTTCACTTCACTCTATAGACTCCAGTCAGAAATGCCCTAACTTGTCTGCGTAAGGTAACACACATTCCATAGCCTGCAGATAGAAGGTGTGCTCTCTGGGACCCGGCTGAAAAAATAAGGAAGCAAGAGATCTGACATGCTGACTTCAAGAACCAAAACAATGCAGCTATAAAACTTCATACGATGATTCATACGTATGATGTATGACAGCACTTCCTGATTTGTGTCCAATAACGGAGTTCCTTTTTCTGCAAAACCTTTTAAGGTCATTCGTGTGACACAATCGCAGTTCCTCACTGAACAAGTCCAAACAGATGTGAGCAGTGCAACACGCCCTGTGCAGAGATCTACAGTTCTATAACGCATGTAGCAAAGAAAATTACTTTATTACCCTTTAAATGACAAGTCCAGGGCACTGTCTAAATAAATAAATAAATAAATAGATAGATAAATAGATAAATAAATAAATAAATAAAATCCAACTAAAATACTTTACACTAAGATTATTTGACACAGAGCAAATATTTGTTAAAAAAGATGTTTGCACATAATATTTTAACTGCTGTCTTCATAGCAGATCACAACACAAAGTGTCCTTACCCCTGTCCCATTGTCGCAGACGACCACTTTTCTCCCTGCGCTGTCCATGCTCCAGCGGCTCAGGTGAGGTGCAGGTAAAAGCCTCCTGGAGGAAGTTTAACTCTGCACTACTGCTGTGCAAATGGTTTGGAAATCTGCCCTGCGTCTCACAGAAGCAGTGCAGTACTGCTGTGATGGTTTTTACATACTTCTGTATGAAGGCTGTGTAGAATGCAAAGAGGGGCTGGACAGACACTCCCCCTGAGGGGCCATACAGCCTCCAGTCGGTCATAAAAAGATGTGGGCGCAGAGTTTTTGTTTCCCCACCCGTATTTTGACAAGCCCCGCCTCCTGTGCTGTTGAGATTCCTGTAAATAACATCTCCCCTGCTGTGCTGTGATTGGCTGTAAATATATTGCCCTTTGCCATATGATTGGCTGGAACTATCTCTCATCCTGTGCTGATTGGCTAGTAGTATTTCACCTCCTGCTGTGATTGGCTACACTGTAATAATAATAATAATAATCATCATCATCATCGTCATCATCATCATCATCATCATTTGAATTAAGTCTACATTTTTAATGTTTTTAAACAAAATTTCATTTTTTCACAGTGTAGTAGTTCTTATTCACCAGCAGTCCACTGGTTATTTTTACTCAATGCCAGCCCATGAAGAAGCGCTGGTCTGAATGCAGGTCGGAAAATTCTCCATGAGGCTTATCCATATTTAAAACCCATCTGCTTGAAGAAAGTAGCCATATGCTAAGCTAGCATCACATTTCCTTACATAGTATATTTGTTGTTTGCATCCCTGCTAAAAATGACCAGTAAAACTATCAGGATTAAAACCTGATGATTTGGTTTTCTAATGGGAATTGGTTTCCATTACCATAGGTTACCAGTACTGTAGGATACCTTTAGATCCCATTAGGAAGCCATCAAATGCATCTTGAATCAGTCCCAGGACACCTTTTAAAACATTAGAATCCTTTACACTGTGATAACAACCCATCAGAAAAAACACAAAATACCATTACTGACTATTGGAGGACACTAGGAACCAGCAGGAACTTTTAAAACTTTCTATAATCTTTTTTCAGCAGGGATGTTGAAGTTCTCAACAGGTTCCCCAACAAACAAAACAACCTAGCTTTGAGCAAAAACAGTTTATTTAAAAACTGTATACATCAGACATCAAAACTACAACCGTCTTTTCAGCTTTGGTGAGCCTGGACAGGGTATGGGGGGGGTAAAAGCATCTGTGGTCCCTAATCTGACAAACAGGTGTCATTTTTGACTCAGAAGTGTAGGCACATGAGTTGAGTTAAGACCAAGTTTGATGATTAATAACTTTTCCCCTCACACCTCATCTTTAAGCTTTCTAGTCTCATTCCCTCTTTATTCTTTCAGGATTTCTCAGAGGAAGACAAATAACATCAGAACTGACTGAGAAGGCATAGTGACTGAGAAACTTGATGATGAAAATTAAGCTGCAGTCTGCAGTGTGTGAAGGGGTCAGAATAGTTCATCAAAGTAGCATCATCTTCTTCATCGTGCACAACTGACAGGCTGACAGATTTACAGTATTTCAAAACAACCTTATACAACCTTATTTCATAACAAACCTTACACAAAACAAATCTGAATGGTATTTTTTAACCGGGTTGCATTAATTCTTATCTCTTACAGTGTTCATAAATGTTCAACTGACTTAAATGAAACTTAAATACCTCCCTTTTGGACGTGCAGAGCACTATTTGGGTGTAGAACCCCCCTCGTATGTGACATAAGATGTGCAGTAAATTGAAAGGCGATCCATTTGATATTCAGTCTCTGTGTTAATTCAACATTGGTGATGCTACTGCTATGCTGTATGTATGAATACCCAGTCTTTAAGAGTTTGTATGATGTATTCTATTAATTATAATAAAAGTCTCTTTGAAATGCATACCAGACAGATTATGAGTGGCAAGTAAACAACTACCTCCATTCTTGCAGTGATAAAAAGCAGCTTTTATACAGACATGTAAGATTAGTATGCTTAGGTAAATGCTACTGCTAATAGCTATCTTGCTGACAATGTGCCATTTTGAAGAAGAATTTTTGTGCCATCTGAAAAGTAATATTCATTACTGAATAAATATATACAAAGGAGCCAGAAGGTGCTTGTATGGTGAATGTAGTCTTAGATGATATGATTTATTTGGCACACCCACTACACAGGGATCATTAAGAACATGTTCTGATTCAAGTGCATGGGTCCCTTATAAGGTCTGAAATTAATTTAACAGTTCAGTGAGTGAAGAATACCACAGATATATACCTGTGCCTTCAAGACTATTCATAACAAAATGATTCAGCATGTGAAATAAAAGATTTTCAAAAAGACCTTATTAGGCCAGTGTCTTAGTATAGCATTGTATCTCCCTTATGTCATTGTATTTATTATCAGCAGTATAAGGTCAAATATTTTTGTGCCTCTTGTTTTCTTTGACAACACCCAATAAAGTCAGAATGTCACAAAGGTCCTTTTAAGTGCATGTGTGAACATCCACGGCAGCCCCTGTTGCTATCACAGATCCATCACCAGTTCGCAGTCTCCATAGTGACCTGGCTGCAATCTTGGTTCAGTTGAAGCTTGTGCATCAGTCTGCAGGTCTCTGCCAGTCTCTGGGGGTCAGGAGGAGTGTGTCTTTAATGGTTTTGGTGGCGGGGCAGACCGAGGCTTTGCTCAGGACTCATATTCACTGTCACTGCTGACTGATATGTCAGGCGTGGAGGCCCTGGTGCCCTGAGGCTCTGTACCTGAGCTGCAGTCACTGTTCTCTGGGCTGCCGGGGTGGCGCAGGGAGGAGCCTTGTAGGTGGGGGTTGTGTTCTGAGGAAGAACATTCAGGAGAGCTACCAGAGGGGAGGAGGGAGGGTCTTGTTGCAGTCTAGAAAAAGAGAGGAAGACACAAAGGGAAATGTCAAAAGAGAAAGATTAAACTCCAATGAAAAAAAACATGTTCCTAAACTTTCAGACTGTTTTTCCTTTTTCCTTGTGATATTAACACAACAGAGCCATGTTTTCCAAAACCACTGTAGCACAAAGATCACCATTTAAAGGGCCCATATCTTACATTTCTCTTGATTTGTATTTGTTTCCCCTGAGATTCACTTATGACACTGGTGTGGGTTTATGTACCAGTCATAATAAATTTTGTACACTGCCATTTTCCAACCTCTCTTTATCTCTTGGAATTAAGCAGGCTGTTTTTGTTACTGTGCCTTTAAGACTGATATATGTATCTATCTATCTATATATATATATATATATATATATATATATATATATATATATTTATTATATATATGTGTGTGTGTGTATGTATGTACATATATCTGATATATGTATGTATATAATGATTAAAATGGCTGAAGCACTAACTACAGCTAAACTGCTGTAGGCTGAATAAGTGGAAGTAAGAAAATAAGTTGTTTTTTATGGCATTACAAAAACAGTAAATTCTACTAGTTTTTGTAAATTAGTTTTCATGTATGAATCGAATGGACTGGGGAGTGTATAAGTGTATCAGTCTTTTCATATCACACCAAACACATTTATTTTAAAGAGTTTAATGAAGATGATTCGTTTTTCCATGATGTGTGTCTGTTAATGGCAGAGCACATAGATGAAGTTGCTCCCCCTACTGGCCAGAGCTAAAACTGCTTTCTGTCTGAACGTACACATTATCAGTGCTTAATGGAGCCTGTGCTTTGTTTGAGCTGTACCTGTTTTTGGCCGATGCCGCTCTGTCTCTCTGGCGTCTGTTCTTGAACCAGTTGCCCACCTGTGTGGGGGTGAGGCCTGTGGCCTGAGCCAGGTGCCTCTTGCGGGATGGGTTTGGGTACGGGTCCTGCAGGTACCACTCCCTCAGCAGACTGCGCGTTCTCTCCTGGGGAACACAGAAAGAAACCTTGGTAAAGTTGGTGTTCCAGAGTATTGCAGAGTACTTTCTCATTTATCAACTGTGAGTTGTCTTGTACACGACTGGATCCGGTTAAAGTTAACCAGTGTAAAGTGGAATTTACAACTGGGTCTTTCTGATTAAATCGACCTCTAACTTCAGGTCTTTATGATGTGATGAAATTCTCCACACCTTGTTAAGGCACACTTAAAATAATCAGGCTTCGTGCCCGGAAGTGTCCATTGATCGGGATAAGCTTGTGACGTTTTTAATGATTAGCTGAGGATAAACAGGGATCAGGCTTGCTGATGTGAGATGCTTTGCAGTTTGAACAAGGATTACTTGGTCCCTGCAGCAACACACCTGGCCACTGGGTGGAGACAGGATACTGGCTGAGCTCCACAGACCTACATTCTAACTATAGCAAAAGTCAGTGGACTGAGGTGGCACGAAGAACTGACTTACAAGCAGAGATTATGTGTTAGGAGGCAAAGGACTGGTCCTAGAACAGTATTTAAAGGCATCTAATACCTCAGTCTGTAGACAACCTTTTGGGCTACGGGGCATTATCTTGTTTTTCTGTATGCTGCCGTAATCCGTCTGCTAGTTATTAATAACAAGATAATTCTCTGCCATGTTAAATTAGGAAAGAGAAAGCAGGTGCTCTCTTGTTTATTGGATGAAACTAACAAATAAGTCTGGCAGTCATTAAACGTTCCTCCATGTCAGCTACAGTGCTGCAGATAAACAACACTGTTAAACACTGTTAATCATGGCGATAACAATGCAGCACAATTGAACTCGAGCTAATCTGTCTGCTAGCATTCCTCCACATGGATTAGCATTGTGTACAGCCAAAGGAGAGAGACGACTCTCATTTTAGAGGCAGAAAATCAACTATGGAAGAGGAGCTTAAGTGCCACAGGTGGTCCTTCACACAAGAGGCTTAACATATTGACTGTGTGCTTTAACAGCAATGCAGCAGTTAATTGGAAGGCAAATAACATTTTTTATGTGGTCACACTGAGGAATGTAGTTGCAGTTTTTCTCCTTAATTTAAAGTGCAAAAAATAAACGTAGAGAAATCTGGCTTTAGAAATGTTTGGACAATGACATCTGTGAAACTTCTACTTCATTTTGAAACAAACTAGGGACTTTTTTGATTTGATTGTGGTAAAGTTGTGCAATGGAGTTTATGTTTACTTCGTAGTCTGTCCGTTCTGCCCAATTTCTTGACTCTGTTTAGCCCTTCACACTTCATTATTAATTCACTTTTGTGTTGAACTTTTACTCGTCTTTGCAGAAGAAAAGTTCTTTTATTTTATCTTCAGTATTTTATTGTAGACCAAAAGGCTCCCAAAAAGAGAAGCACAGATCCTAAAACATTTATTTCCATGCTGTTGCTAAATGTGCTAAGAACTTCCAGTTCTAGCTGTATTCTAAGGAAACTCAGTACTGGAGAAGTTCTGAACCTGAAACTACTTGTCAAGTTGTTGCTAGGCTAATTTTACTTTTTACTTTTGTCATTATTTCGCTAAAGCAAGATCACTGTTATTCACATCTGGGTTTAGGCTCCTACTACTCTGCTGTGGAGAGTTTAACCTTCATCTTATGGTCCTTAGCAGTGAACTATATCTTCTAGCAGCTCAATGTAACTTCCCAGCTAGCCTGCAGCTTTTGAAATGCACGATGGACACTGTCATTTCTTGAAACTTCTACTCATGACTAACTGCACTGAAAAATCTTACTTTTGAAACTACAACAACCAAAATGAACCGATGGAACTTTTTCAGGCATCGTGGCCCATCAGCTAATATAGCCCTTTAGGTAGTCTTGTTGTTTATCAAGTTCCATATTCAGCTGATTCTCATTAGTTCACTTTCTAAATGAGAATAGGAAAACACTGCAAATAGCCTTGTTACATTGAAAAAGCTATTTTAGTAGGAAACTTAATGAAAGTGTGGCTTTCAGGGCTTATGACATGAGTGTCCTGACTAATAACACACTGTCCTATATCATGGACTGTCCCACAGTACTGAATATCCTGAAACCAGTTTACATAAATCGTTCATATTATTAACTGAACCAAACTTGGTCAGTGTCATATCATATTTAAGGATCAAAAAGGTCATTAACTGCTTCAATTGGCAGGCCCACCGGCAGGCCAAATGTTTTATTACCCACTTCTATAAACTAAGAATAGCTCAGCCAGTTTGCACTGAAGTCCCTGTAGTTACTGAATAATGAGCCTTAGTATGTAATATGTTTGGGATTTTAAGGGGTTAAATCACCACTCACCTTAAAGCAGTGTGTCTTCTGCTCTCCGTCCCAGATGGTTCGGGGCAGAGGGAACTTCTTGCGGATCCTGTACTTCTCCACGGGCCCGAGGGGCCTCCCTCTCAGACGCTCGGCCTCTCGGTAGTGAGCGTCCAGCCATAGGTCCTGCAGCTTGGCGTGGGACTCTCGAGTGAAGCGGTGGCTCTGCAGGATCTGATAGAGGGCCTCGAAGTTTCCCCCATGAAAGGCCACCAGGGCCCGGGCACGCATCACCGACTCATGGCGGTTGAGGGCCTCTCCAGCCGCCCCGGGGACCGCGGCAGGCAGGGACCACAGGAAGCGTCCCAACCGCTCCATATCACCCGTCTCCTCCAGGTTTTCACACACTCGAGCCACCTGGTCTGGAGTAAACATCGGCAGAGGGAACATGGTTTATTTCTTCAGCGCCAAAACTCCAAGATCAAAGAAAGGATGCGCCAAGTTCTTGTGGCTGCGCTAAAGCGTTTTGCGCATCTTCTCTTAAAAATGCGCGCAAGTGGCCGCGCTGCAGTTTGCGCGCTGCAAAAAACGCTTCCTCTGGATTACAACTCAAGTTGATTCGATTATAAGAAAGTGTTACACGTTTGAAAATCCCGTTGGGCTCTTATATAATTGGCGGTGTGATTTCTCGGTAGAAGGACAGAGTCTGCGCTCTGCCTGTCTCTCCTCTGGTAAAGAAGAACACCAGAAGTCAAGCGTATTTATAGCGGGATGCTATTAGCATCTCTGTGCTTGTTTTGAGAGGGATTACAGGCTCTTAGCGGGGGGCAGTGTGAGCACTGAGGTGACTGGCTGATCAGATTGTTAGGCCCTAAACTCGGAATACGTTAACTGCCACGATTGATAACAGCAAGTTTATTTAATTGGTTTGATCCACAGACACAGACTGGACGCTACAGCAGCCACTGTGATCTAAACCGTGGTTTAGTTTACCTTCTTTGGCCGCGGAGCGCGAACTCTCCGCACGGAGCAGAAGCCTGGCTGTCCCCGCTGAGTGTAGTTCAATATAAATGACCCTTAAACCACAATAAAGTGTTTCCATAATGTGACTGATTTGGTAAGATTTAATAGAACTGTGCGATTGTTTAACCATGCGAACAACGCGCATGCGCAGTCCGTAATAGGTGCTCTGTAAACATCTTGTGAATAAGTACACTTCTGTAAATATGGTTGAAAAAAAGTTTTCATTTTCCTGTCCATTTTTTCCACCTTTCTCATTCTTTTAAGCGTTTTATTTTGCCAATTTTAATAGTTTTTTATTTAGACTTTATAACACTGACATAAATTAATTGAAATTAAACTCTTTACATGAACTTTAATTTAAAGTTAAGAATATTTTAAATAATCTAGTAAAACTGTCCCATCAGTGAAGATATACATCGTAAAAGTTTTAGGAATGTGAGAAAATTATATTTAAAGAGCCATTTAAACTGTTGCTAATATTATTGTCAATGTGGTTGTTTAACCATTTCCAAACCTCTCCTAGAAGTCCAGTGTGCTGGTGATGAACTTTAACAAATCTATTTGAGGGCTGGAGACAAAGAGAAGAAATCTGAAACACAATTTTGTTCTTTGAACTATCTTACAAGATATTGACTAACAAAGTAAGATATTCTTGTTTATTTTTTATTCTATTCGTGTCTAATGATATATTTTGTTTTTACAAATAAGACACAAGTATTGCCACAAGATAGATGATTTTAACTAATGCTCTTACGTGCCTAAGAGAAAAATCCTGTGATCTGTAAGAATCTGTAATTCTAAACAATTTCCAGAATAAAAAGTGAAAAAGTGATCTAAAGTGATCAATAATCAGCAGCAGTTTAATTGTGAAAAGATTTTTCCCAGTGCAGTTACAGGCTGGTTAAGTGCCCTTCTATGATCCCAGCACTCCGTCTAATGACTCTGGACACTCTTACTGTCCTGCTCTGCCCGTCTCCCCCTGCCATCCAGCAGCACTAATCAACGCAGCAGCGAGTCATTTTGCTATTAATCCGGTTTAAGGCGAGCATCTGTCTCCACATGGTTAAACAAACAGGTATTTTATACACTGTACCCTCTAAGCTCATCACAGCCAGCATGGAGATGATTAATGAGGCTGTACTGACTGTAACACCACCACCACCACTACCTCTCTGCTTTCATTACTTCAATTTTTGCTCAAGATTTAAAGCCAGTGTTAGAGTTCTGTAATGCCAGAGGTGGCCAAATCAACACCGAAGTAACAGTCTGAATGAAATAATGACTCAGTTCGAAGTAGAAAGTAGCTACTAAAAACAGCTTCAATGAAAAAGCATCAGAAAAAACTCCTCCGGCCCTGAGATCCATACAGAACTGCAGTGGAACTTTCTGGAACATCCAGCATCTTTTAGCTTTGAAACTGAAGACAGGTTCTCTTCTTGTCTTGTTGGGATGCTGTTGGTCTACAGTAAAACAGTAAAGCTGGAGAGTGAGATGTATGAACAGAATGATGTCAAACAGAAAAAAATATTAGAATGTTCTTATTCTAATCTTATTAAGAAAAATGCAAGATTCATTACACTATGAGAAAAAAGGCTACAGTACAGGTACATTTTTGCTCATCAAAGTACAATGTAAATGTACCCTCAAAGGAACAACAATGGTCTAGTTCCAATTGTGTACCTTAAAATGAGTTTCAAAGTACACTACATTCACATTTCCAGAGGAAAGGCCTATATCTGTACCATTTCACAATCCAATGTTTTAAAACAGAAAAATAACTAAATAAAAGGTCTTGAGTCAAAACAGGGTATACGGATGTCAATGTCAGTGTAACTTAAAAATGTGTAATTGCAGTGGAATATGGTCCACTTATGTTCCCTCACTAAAGGTACTGAACTCCACTGACATTTTAGTACCTTTTTTTCTGAAAGGGTAGAAATAAAAATATTATCATTTTAAAACTCCCAGAAAAGTACAACTTCATAACTGAATCATAACTGCACTAAAGTGCGTGGAACTTCATGAATCTGAACTGGTTGCTTTCTTGTCTTCATAGTGAAGCTTAATGAACAGCGTAGACAGTAAATCGCAGGAAAATCTCCATCTTCTGGTTTCCATATGGCTGCAGGCAGAAATGAAGTTCACAGTCAGGTAAAGGGTCACGCTTTAGGCCGAGGTTACGGCTCTTAGTGATTAAACCTCATCGACCGCTTTTGAGGGGAGACGGGCATTTTGTTTTTGTCTACAACTGTATGTTTTATCTTACTTACACTGTAATGAACATCTGTTCCATCCAGGCAGGTGCACAGACAGAGGGGCTGTAATTTAAATTATGTCAGGTTTATGCTGCCTTTTTTCTCCCTTGTGCTCTTCCTCTCCATGAACATCTGCTCAGGCCTGGTTCCATCAGACATTTTTCTGTGGGCAAAACTGGATGATCTGAGATTCGAAAAATAGCTGAAATTCACAAACTGAAGTTGGTGTAATAGCCTGAAAATGAAAAAGGGAGAAATCCAGATAAATGCTCTTCATGACAGAGCAATGCTAAGGGCAATTAGTTAATATTATTTTCGGTTAAATTATAATTATTATGTACAATCTATGTCCAATTTTAAATCAAATTACACAGTTCTTTTAAAATTAATTTTGGTAACTTTGTTATATTTTTATTACCAGTATTTCTACTTCATCATTCTTTCATTGCAGCAACAAATGTTGTCCAACAACTTTAAAGCCATAAAATGAGCACAAAATAAGAACAAACCACAGAAACATGCTAAATTAACCAACAAATAAACTATAATAATTCTTCTTCTTTTTTTTGTCATTTTTTGTCAAGTTGTACATGAAAGATGGCACATCATAGCTGTGGCTTCACAGATGTTAAAGTATTATTTTTATTTGGAACAACAATTTGATGCTTGATTTTCTGTTTAATTTTTTTTGCCCATCTTACATTAAAATTATATAAAGCATGTACATATATATTATTTTATTTTTGTAATAAATATTGTCCCATGATTTCTTGTCAGTGATATTTCTGAGTTCTTGAATGGATACCTCAAAGGAAGAAAAAGTAACTCCATATTTCTCATGAGATTTCTGCTAAAGGTGTCTAAACTACAAAAAGAACACCACAAAAAAGATTGTGTCAGTGGTGTTATTAATGATAAATAACATTAAATGAGAGGATGTGTAACTTATTTTCACTTAGACTATCACCAAAGCACATCATTTGATGCATACGACTACATATCCTACTGCTACATATCCTACTGCCATATACACATAAGCCATGTGTGTATGTGCGTGCATGTGTGTGTCCGCATGTGTGCGCGTGTGTGGCACGCTTCAGTGAACTTTTGTACACACACACGAAGAGAGAAATGAGCTCAGAAGATCATTTTCGTTATTAATCTGATTCTCAGACACTTTATCTTCAACATTTCACACACGCACGCACACACACTCACCACACACACAGCACACACACACAGCTCCAATCTCTTTAGCAGTTTGAGAAGAGCAGACTGAGCTCAAATCTGCTTAACTGCTCCCAAGCTGCTAGAACCAGATAAATCAGAAGATGAAAATGAGTGTGTGTGTGTGTATGTGTGTGTGTGTGTGTGTGTGTGTGTGTGTGTGTGTGTGTGAGCTGCAACATGTGGAAAGGTCAGGCTTTTATTGATTTGTGGATATATACTCATGTCGATAAGTCTAGTTTTAACAGATCAGAGTGAAATCACTTTCATGACTCGTCCATACTGAACTCCCACTCTGCCTGAAACACTACCACTGTAACTGAAGTGCTTTCAAACTTTTCGGCTTTATTCCACCTGCACACTCATATCTACGGTTGCATCTGAATTTTATAAACTCAAAATACATTATGGCTTTTTTTTTTAAAGCTGGTACTGCACATGACATTTCTTTATTTTGGTTCTTAATATACCAACTACAGATCACAGGTCAGTGAGAGAATGGATTAGCAAAGATGGATTTATAAATAGTTTAATTTGGAGTTTTTGCAAAATGTGCCTAGTCTTAGCGTCTGTTAATAGTTATATCAGTTTACACTGGCCTGAACTAATGCTGATGTGTATTTCCTTGTACTGCATTGTTTAAATGTGAGTTATTTGGCCAGATTTGAGGCACAGATCATAACAGAGTTGTAAAAATGTATTTATTTATTGTTGACCTGTGTTTTTTTTACTTTTTTAACATTAGTATTAGGAAATATAAATAAAACACTATTGTGCATTATTGCTCCGGGTAATGCAAACCAATACACCTAGTAACAGATTAGATTTGTTTCTGCAAATTTCACAAACAAAAATAAATCCATCTTTTTGCATTTGTTAATAGTGGTATTAGTTTAACCATTGCTGTAAACAGTTCTTAGAACTAGCTTTTTATGTTTCCTTACA